TCACACACTTAGAGCAGATGAGACTGAATTTACACATGTAGAGCTGGAGAGAGGTTGTGACTGAACCCAGTGAGGATCAGCAGAATAAATGAGAATCTTTTCAGTCTTTAATAATTCACCAGATTGTCTCTTTAGTCTCGATGTCCCGTAGAACAACAGTCAGAGGCGTCCTTGAAAATCTAGAGACGATTGAAGAGTGAAGTCTGTGACTGATGAAGGGAAATATGACTTTCCTCTTCTGTCTGCTTGTATGTGCTAACAGCTGTTAGCTTGTTAAAGCTGCAGGAAAATATTCAAAAATCCAACTTAAGTAAAAAGATTTTGACTTCACAGCAATTATGACAAAATCTTTCACCTATGGTTCATATTTAATGACTCTAACGTGGAACTAGTCTGAGTGGCGGAGGGATACAGTCAGTTATTTCTGTTATTCACTGAATCATTCAGCCAATAAAACGATCAATATCAGGACAGACGACAGAACCCAAACCGATGTCGCTTTTTCATAAACAGGTGTTTCATATGGTCACCCGTCAGGTGTGACACGCCCCCTGCCTGCGTCACGTGACCTTGGCTCAGTCATGTGACCTGGCTGTGGTCAGGCGGAGCTCGTAGTGAAATGTTTCTGAGTCTTAACATAGACGTGTGTTCTCTCACCTTCAGGGCTACAACTGGGGCCACGACAAGAACGTGGTGACCATCTTCAGTGCTCCAAACTACTGCTACCGCTGTGGAAACCAGGCAGCCATCATGGAACTGGACGACACTCTGAAATACTCTTTGTAAGTACAAAGACCTTAAAGAAGCGAGACGTCATGTTTATGAGGCGTTCAGGAACAGCTCGGTCACAAACTGAATCTGATTCTTTCACATGTCAAAATCTACGCCTCGTATTTCTTTCTGTATTTACTATTTAACACGGCGACCTCGTCAATAACAAACACTCTCTGCCTCCTCAGCCTTCAGTTTGACCCCGCCCCCCGCCGCGGCGAGCCCCATGTGACCAGACGCACTCCTGACTACTTCCTGTGAATGTCCAAAGCCATCCCTGTCAATCATCCACGAAGCTCCACCCCCTTTCCCCTCACCCCCTCATTTTGGATGGAAAGAAGATATTAATAATAATAACGATGATGATGATGATGATGACACTGTACCAGGGAGAAATAGAAACAAACGATTGGCTGATGAATCCGAGATTTTAACAAAGAGAAACTTAAAGAGCGGCCCCCTCTACAGTCGTGTTTTCAATATGCTGTCATTAATGCTGTGCTTCTGGGGAAAAACAACACGTACAACTATGATGATCTGTTTTCTTTCTTTTTTTGTTTATTACATGTTTGAAAACGAGATAATAAAACTACCAACGTGGACCAAATGTGCCATATTCTGATCCTTTTACAACATGTACAACGCGCAAGGTTTATCCTTCTTGTTTTTCTGTTTTGTTTTTTTTCTTCTTCTTCTTTTATTTTTTTTTTTTGTTTTAGACCAGCACTATAACCCTACCTACCTGACATCACCACCACTCATCACATCTCATGGCATACAGTATGTGCTTTTTTCTGTTGCAAGATAATTTTAAAAAAGGAGGAAAAAAAAAAGGTAAAAAAAAAAAAGTTTGCTTCAAGTAGTACAGCTGTCAGTTTTAGCTGTCCAGGCTGCAGCCGGTGGTCATCTCAGCAAGTATATTACTGTAATTTGAATAAAGACAACAGACGTATGAAATAAAATGTCCTATTGACAAACTACTGGGCTGCGTCGGTGTCCTTTCTTTAGCCTGATTCAGACTTTGTTCGGCCGTTGTGGAGAAGAAACTCCAATATATGAGTTTTTATTTCTTTTAAAGACTTTGACTATAGGAAACCATGAGTTTTGGAGGTGTACATGGTGCCTGCAGGTCTCAAAGGTCTGTGTGGTGTAAAGGTAGATGTCCACGTGTTGTTGGATTATAAAGCAGCTCTAGGTTCTATATTAATACTGTGGAAGTGGAGCTAAAGGAAGAGATGACAACAGGTTTGATTAAAATATAAAATGTATATTGCAAACGTATCATAGATGATTATTCTACAACACAAAGTGCAGAGTGAAAAACAGAAATATTTGAGTCATTTAATGTAAAACAAAGATCCAGTAATGATGTCACGTTTATAATGAGCCAAATTGAAACAGACCAGCAGAGGTCAGTGTGAGGCACGATGAGTCAGCCTGAATAACTTTACACAGGACTCCACCTCCACAAACTAAATCTGCTTCATCATTCACTAAGATTATGAAAAAAACAAAATCTGTTTTAAGTTTTGTGGGTGAAATGATTCTTTTTATGTTTCATATGTTAAAGGACCTCTGGCTCTGGCTGTGGTTGGACACTCCCAAGTCCCAACAGTTTAATTCCTCCTACTAATAATGTTCCAGAATCATCTTCTGCTTCACCTGCTTCAGGATCTAATTCCTTCATGTCCTCCTCTCTCCGTCTGGTTTTCTTCATTCATTTTCCTTTTCTCGTCACTTCCTTTCGCTCTTTGCATCTTCGCTCTTCCATCCTCTCTTGGATTTCCCTCATTTGCCTCTTTGAACATCTCGTTGGTGTAGTGGCTTCCTCCGTTCTTCTGGACTAGACTTCTGATCTTGTGGAGCAGCTCGGTGACCTGAGAGCGATCCTTCAGGTCCTTCAGCTTATTATTGAAGACATGGTACTGGCCGTTACACGTGGCCACGAGTTGTTGAAGGTCTGGACTTTCATCCAGGAACTCCTCGATCGTGACGTCTTCAAGTCGGTCACCATGAGTAAAGGGAACCATACAGTGTCTGTCTGCATCTTGGCCAGAGAGTTCTTTTATCTTCTGCACCATCTGCTTTTCCTCCTTCATCATCAGTCTGAATCTGCCCAGACTGATGTCCACCAGGAAGACATGAGGTCCAGGAGCAGCTAAACGGACACGCTGGTGTATAAGGCGATGGTGAAACCTGGTTCGATGAAGGTCTGGGGTGTCAATGACAGAAACCTGTTGTCCATCTACCACAGCTCCCTCCTTACAACACTGTGGACTACACTTAACATTTAACTTTGTTTTAAAGCACTGTTGTCCCAGGATGGTGTTTCCAGTGGAACTCTTCCCAGTCCCGTCCGCCCCCACCATCACTATCCTCAGCTCCTCATCAGTTGTTGTGAGAAACCCAGTGTAGAAGAACATGTTGCACACAGTCAGACACTTTCACACAATACATCAGAGTAAATGTTTAATTTATAGCCCAGCTTAATTTAAAAGTACAATGACCCACATCTTTAACATTTCTATAGTGTATATGTCTGTAGAAGTGTCTATAGGACCTACAGCAGTACATTACATGGAATTAGATTCAGCAGTGATCACTGTTATGTCACCATAAAATAATGGTAACATTATTTACCATCATTTTAAATCATGCATACAGTAACATGACTTACCTGAGTTGCAGGCCATGTCTGTGTTAAAGAGAGCAGAGTAGAAACAGCAGCTGATCTAAAGAGCCGAAGAGTTCAGAGTGAGTCTACCACTGTTAAAATGACCCAACCACACCCTCAAATCCCTGCTCTGCTGTGAAGTGGATCTAAACCTTTATCTCACTGTGGTCCCAGGATTTTGCAATAGATAGAAGAACAGCTGGACGGAGATCGGACGGGAGCCGGATGTGAGTTGGCACCCTCTAGTGGATGCATTGTTCAACGTCCATCCCAACGTAAAGGACGAGTGGGGGTGTGCGGTCAGTGACGGTTATAGCGTTTAAAACGTACGCATCTATTTTCATACGTAAAGGACGCATAAATGAACCTCAACAGTTTTGTGTTACGTAATAGTCGGATGTCTCTCCAAGCGCGCGAGCCGCAACCAAGTCTATATTTGCAGACGGCGGGTGGGGGGGGGTACAACCCGGTGAGCCTCATATTTTTCTCTCTCTCTCTCTTTCTCTCTGCTTCTCTCTCCTCCCCCTCCCTCTCCCTCTCAGCCTGGAGTTGCTCATTAATTTTCTTAATCTCTTTTTCATATTTTTCTTGAGCCTTTCTCTCCACTTCCTCTCTCTCTTTGCGTATTTGCTCTTCTTTCTCTCTCTGGATTCGTTGTTTCTTCTCTTTGATTGCCCTCATTTGCCTCTTTGAACATGTCGTTGGTGAAGTGGCTTCCTCTGTTCTTCTGGACTTGATGTCTGGTCTGGTGGAGCAGCTGCAGTGGTCTCATAATTAAAGTGAAACTAAATCTTTATTTGACTGTTTTGGTTACAGAAGGATTTTGTAGCAGATGTGCTATAAATGGGAATATATTGAAAACCATTTATCTGGCTTGCCTTAGTAAATAGTAGAAGAGGTACTTTTTATGTCTCATCATAACCATCATGACAATCAGTTGTAAGAAAAATATTAATCGTCTTAATGCAATTAATTAACTGGGGAAGTTTCATAGTGATATATATTAGTTAAAAGTGATTCACCTTAATTTATCAAGATGTTGCAGTAGTCAAAAACGTTTTGTCACAATAGGTTTGTTACTGAAATTTTCAGGAGTAGTTTATCAACAAGATACTGATTAATACATTGATACAATTGCTCCAACATCTAATGAGTTAATGTATTCTTCTTTATTCTCTTTTTAGTTTATTGTGTCTCAGTACTGTGTCGACACCAATACATGTTTAAACACTGTAATATGCAAGAATGTACAAGTGTTTGTATTTGAATATTTTGAAAACTACATAAAAAAGTTACTACACCGTGTGAAATAGAAGGCAGAAAGAAGACATTTCATTCAAACCTTAGGTAAGATGAAAGTAAACTTTGATTCAATAGGTATTCTACAAAATAATGAGAGTTACCGAATCATAACACAGTACAGTCACTCATTTGAGAAGGTACCGTCACATACCAGCTGGTGGCGGTAATACACCGATTTGTTGTTTGCCAACCGACAAAAAACCTCAAAGAAGAAGGACAGGCAGAACTCTTACAAGTATCGCGAGAGTTCCCGGGAAGCGCACAACAAACCGTCTTCATGTTAGCTAGCAGGCTAACTCCCTGATGGTCTAACGACAGCCAATAAAAAGGTATTTTTTGGTATGACATGTAGTTAGTTGTGGAACACCGTATGTCGGGTTCACGTTTAACTTCTAGCTTGTCTTCTCTTGGTTTTCTATCTACTTATTTAGCTGTGTTTAGCTCGTCAGCTAACTAGCATAATAAGCTAAAAACATTAGCTACCGGTGAGTGGGACCGGAGGCTGCTGGGATAACGTTTGGCTAAGTGTGACTTGATGAACTGTGACTGTAAAACGAGTCGTTACCCACCATTAATGTTATTTTTTATACTTGTGTTGTGTATTTAAAGCCTCGTCCTGTCTGATTTATGTCTGTATCTCTCTCTACATCGTTTGTTTTTATCTTTAGCTCTTGCATTTATCTGAGCCATCTGATTATTTCTATATTAGTACCGCATCATAGTGCTAGGGTTAGTGTTAGTTTTATTACCTCACAGCCAAAGAAAGACAAACTATATACAGGTTCCTTTATTCTATAAAGGATGTTCAGAAACCCAGATCAGTTCTAGTTGTTGTCTCTCATGTTTTTTTCAGGTCACTGATGATGGTTTTGAAAAAACTCAAGAGGTTATTTAAAAACACTTGCAGCTGGTCTGAAGCTATTTTCTGAAGGACCATTTGTGTGAAAAAATATTCTGAGCCTGAAGACTTTTAATCTGTTAAACATCTTGTTTCCCAAGACTCAAGAGAACTGTATTGTCAACCTGTTCGTATACAAGTATACAGTAGAAATGTTCTCTGCGGTGCTACAGTTATCATCACAGAAATGCAAAACAACAGCCAACATGAGGTGAAAGCTGACAGTTTTATTCTAGACAGAAACAAAAACCAGTAAAGATTAGTAAGGACCATCAGAGCAAAAATGTTGAATGTAAATAATTAAACATTAAATAGTAGCTGGAGATGACATTTATCTTTGCTTATTTTACACAACATGAATTGTCTCTGTCAATATTGTATTATTTTATATGGAATATTAACATGCAGCTGGCTCCAGATGCTTTGCTCTGTCAATGAAATGTAAACACCGTGAGGTCTAAAAGTCTGTGACCACTTTCTCATTCATGGCACGAACTAGGACTAGACTGAAGTAGACATGTTGAAACTGTAAAATAAATCACTGTTCCACTTCCACAGGTTGTCAGACTGAGCTGTTATCACGAGGATGAAGATGAGGAGGAGGAAGGTGGTGCTGTCAGTCCTCTGATCTCTGTCCGTCTGTATGGAGGATGTGGTTCTGCACTATCACTCTGGATCAGCAGATGGGCTCGGCTCTCTGTTAGAGAGGACAGAGAAGCTTCTGGAGCCTTTTCCCTGTCGGACTATTCCGGTCTTCACTCCTTGGTTCCCCGCCACAGCTGCAGACCGCCGGCTGCCCATCAGACCCGCCAAACCAGCTCCTGTCATCGCCTGCTCAGACGATTTACTCGTCTCTGACAGCAGGCCACACACTCACACAGCAGTGACTAATTCTCTCCCACAAAACAAACTGCAGAAACCTAAAGTTTATGGCCCTGTTGCTGAGAAACATCAGGATCATCCACATACAGAGACAACAAGAAGTCCACCAGGAAAAACACAGGAAAGCAAAGATGCCTTCATCATTTCAGAAACACCAAACCATCTCCTCCCAGCTTCCCTCTGTCACAAGCCAGAGAGAGAGGTCACCAGACTGTCGCCTGAAAAACTCCCCCAGAGAGACAGAGATGGCTTCACCGTCTCAGACTCCCCGATCAGACGCTCCTGGAGCATCTCCTCACAGAGAGGAGTCCTGCTGCAGAGCTCCCAGTCACTGTCCAAGCAGTTTCATCACATGGTGTCTGTCCACAAGCTCCACCTCCGCCAGAGGGCCAAGTGGGTGATCGGTGAGCACAACTGTGGAGCAGCACGGGACATCGAACAGGTCAGTGGATTATTCATGAACCAGGACTAAGAGTCTGTAACAGCCCTGTGAGGATGCATCTAACACCATGGTGCTTTGAGCTAAATATTATTATTAATATTCATCTGATTTGTCTCTGACAGCCAGTAGAGTAGAGATGGTGAGGTGAAGCTGAACCAGTCCAGCAACGTGGTTCCAGAAAAGCTTCATTTCTTGATGCTTCATGTTGACAGAGCGACACCTAGTGGCCAGGATGTAAAATAGGCAAATACAAACATTTGTATATTACAGTGTATTAATATAGGAGAAACTATGGTTGTATTTTTATTCTAAACAGACCTTCATAGTAACTATTGTAAGAAAGAAATAGACAACAGAGCAAGAGCGTCCCTCTCTACCTTCAAGACTCGTCTCCTCAGAGAGACCTCCTCTCCTAACACCTCTAACACTCTAACACTCTAACATGTCTAACTAGCTCTGACTGAACCTTCACTGCACCTCTTTACCTGATCTCCTTCACTTATTAAATAGATGTAGCACTTAGTCCTTATACCAAGGTCTCTACTGCACCGAAGCTTCAGTGATGTCATGTTTCTCTCATTTCTTTTTTCCCTCCTTTGGTTTCCTGCTTTTCTTTTCCTTCTGTCACATTACCTGTGCAGAGTTGTTCTGTAAACGCTGATATCACAGTGTATAGTCTATGTTTATGTTTCGGTTCAGTATGTTTGGCTGAAAATGAATTGTCATCTGTTTTGATAACCAATTAATCAATTTACTAATTTTTCAAGTAAAATTGCTCCCAGATTCTTAGGGGTGAGAATGTGATGCTTTCTTTGTCACATGTGACGGTGAACAGATGAACGGATGAACGGATGAACAGATGAACTGATACTCAAATGAAAGAAAACATCTGAATATATCACCTTGAAACTGACGTATTTCACTATTTTCTGGAATTTTTAGATGAAAAGATTAATGGTGAAAATAATCAGCAGATTCATCACTAATGAAATTAATCATTAGTGTCAGACCTGTTTCTGATTTGTGCAAAGTTTGTTGCTACAAACTAAATGTTTTTGTTGTTGTGTAACTCGACGTCTGTTCTCCTCGTTTTCTTACCTTCAGCTGATTTGTCTGTTAACATCGTCCCCCCCCCCGTGCAGGTGTGGCGGACTCTGAGCCGGTCGGTCCGGAGCTCCAGGCTGCCGACGTGCAACGCCAACATCCAGAGGGAGCGGGCGGAGATCTGGGTGTTCTGCGACGTTCTCCACTCGGAGCAGGTGGGGCGTTTCCTGAAGGAGGAGCTGCAGCTGTCGGGGGGGATCAGCCTGTCGGTTCACAGACTGGGAAACGTGTTCAGCGTGTAGAGGAACGTCAGCTGGAACTGAACAGTATGATCAGACCAAAGACGACACTCTGGGGCTTTTACAAACATGACAACACTGTGACTTAACATTTAATATAACACGTTAAAGAATGAGTACGTTTACCTGCACAGAAACCTGAGTCAGGTGTTTACATGCCTCAGTGTCCTGGTTTCTAACAGAGCACTCCGGCTAGGATAATTCAGGTTTCTGAAAGCTGTGATAAAGACGAATCCATGTTTCTGAAACCAGGATGTCATGTTTACATACGCAGCTCATAACCACAGGGATGTTTCATAAAGAAAGAACCAGTTAAACCAGGTTTATCTCAGAAAGTCAGGCTTATTTTCAGGAAAATCTGTTTTCAAAGAGCAAGTTAAGTTTATTTTTTTTATAAAACCAGAGTTACAAGATGCCTCAGAATGAATCTTTTTCAGTCTAAGATATTCTAGTTAACACGTGCTTTTTTTTCAGTGCACTGCAATAAAAGTAAAGCTGCTAAACAACTTTGCATGTAGCCTCATAGTAAGAAACATTTTACCCATTTCTTCTTTTTAAAATGTCACTACATAAAATTTGAGAAATTAATTTAGAAAAACTGCAGAAAATGGCAGACAGATAATCTGATCATCCCGAATCAATGAGCTGTTTCCTTTTATCTCTTTTAAATAGTCCAATATGAGTATGAGGGAAAAACGCCGTCTTCAGTGTGATGGTTAGATCCTTTTAACGTTTCACCACTGGTAGCAGTGGGATATACAGATACAGTTGTTTATCACACAACATGTAGTTTTGTAACAATAGAAAAATCGAAGTTCAGCTTTCCTATTTGATTTGTCCTTTTTACTTTTAGCTGGTCAGTCGTCTGCGAAGCACTTTAAACCGCACTCACCTGAAAACATTATTGATTGATAAAAACAAAACTAAACACACATTCACAAACTGGTGAGAAGTGAAAAGGATAAAACCAGGAAACTGAAGGACTTTTGCACCTTTTATGAAACTCAAAGACCTCACAACCAGCTGAACCTTTTTTTAAAGAGCATGATTCCACACTTTAACATGATCAGTGATTCAGCATATCTACAATATTTATTTAATACAACATCTAGTAAATACACAACATACAAAACTATATTCTAACTTGCCCTAGTGCTATTTACATTTGGCATTCTCGTTGTCATGACAACAATCCTCTACTGCAGAACTTCATTAGTATGTTATAAGAATTTACTTCCTTAATGAACTGAACTGAAGAGGAAATAAAACCACAAACAGATTTGGTTTTTTGTGTCTGTAATTTAGCATTTATAAATTTGAGAACAGGTGGTTGTGATTGTTTTTTTTTGCATTGATTTTCTCGTTGCTCTCTCTTGTAAATAAAGGTTTTTATATTTTTAATAATGAAGTGTCAGTGGTCGTGGATGGATGTACAGTCCTGCATGTGATGTGCAGTTTGTTCTGGAAAAGCCGCAGCAGCAGTCACATGATACGGGAGTCACCCTGCTTTTCACTGACACAGAAAAAAAAATTGGTACACACACACACACACACACACACACACACACTGCCATTTTCTAAGACTGTCATGCTTGTATAAGACCTGAATGAATGAGGGCAGCATGAATACAGTGCACCCCCCATCTCTCCCTCACACTCACACACACACACTCTTTGTTGCTAGGGTCCCTTGTCTTGACAGCGCTCCACACTGCATTAAAATCTAGGTTACCGGATGTGACGTCAGTGCCCTGCCTCCCTGCCCAGCTGTAATCGTTGTTAATCTCTTAAATCCATGTTTAGTTCCTCTTGGCGCTACAAACGGCCGATGTAAAATGAGGATGAAGAGAAAAAACTTAAATATGTTAATTTTTTTTTACAAACACTGTCCCCCAAAAAGCAACATTAGGTTGTCGCTGGTGCTGTATAACACATTAATTTATCATCACATGTCCGCTAGAAGTACTTTATTTTGAAAGCAGTCCGGAACTTGTCAATTCTCGCTTTAGATGGTTATATAACGAATATTAGCGAGGAAACTAGGTGGTTAAAGTGGGCTTTTGAGAAAATATTGACCGTAAATTGTTTGCTTATCACAATAATCTAATTATTGACCTTAAAATTGACCTTTATTTTAAATGCTTTGCTTTTTAATGTACATGGCAGTTTTACTTTGACACTCCGCACCGGAAAACGTTGAGTTAACACTGATTTGTCGCCGCTAACATTTAGATGGCTGAACCACGAGTGTCTTCATCTTGGAAATAATCGGTGAAATAAGGGAATATTTCAGTTTTGGATAACAACTTGTCGCCGTGTCTGCTTGCTGCTCCACAATGACGTCCGCTGTTTGCTCAGCTGGAGGATTTTCGTGGTGAAAAATAAAAAAAAGGTGAGTCGTTGTAGCGACTGGTACAAGCTAGCAGGCTAAGCTAGCGCTGGCATGCATTGTCGTTTTCCCGTTTCCTGGAGCGATTCACTGTTTGTGTTTCATGTTTGTGCTTTTTAAAACACTATTTCACAACGTTTAGGAGTTAAACTGATAGTCTGGTAGTTGGGGCGCAGTTAAGGATGAAAACTGAGTCTGGTTTGGGTCATTTAACGCTGTGAATCGGAAAAACTACCACAATTTCAGTCTGATCCGTTTCCCCTTGTTCTGTTTACTAAACCCCTTTTAAAACTCTACATGTTTTATGTTTGTGATAACTTATATCTTTAAAACAAGCATCCTTTAAAATCTTTTACATATTTGCACGTTAGACACTTAGTTTTCATCTTTTCGGCCTTAATTATTTATTCTGCAATTCCTGTAGATATTGTCAAATTAAGACAAAAGAACAGACAAGAACAGGCTTGAATGCTAATGTCAATTATTTCAATAATCGATTAATCGTTTGTCATTTTTGTAATCAAACATTTGAAATATTTGATGGTTCAAGCTTCTTAAATGTGAATATTTGATGTTTTATTTCATATTTAACCAGATTGAGCATCTTTCACTTTTTCTGACTCTACGGACCAAATAATATATCAGTTAATCAGGATCTATTGATCTAAATTGGTAATGAAAATGATTGTTAGTTTAAACTCTCTTGTATTCTTTTTATTTCTTTTTCTTCCAACTACTTTGATAATTGATGAATTGACATGAAAATGTAAAACATGGTTTTCTGTTTTTTCTCTATTTGATAAATTTTAATTGACATAATTTCACTATGGTTAGCCAGTTTTTTTTCTCAATTATGAAGCAAACAACTTCATAAAATTGCAACAAAACACGATAAAGTCGAGACCCTGGTTTAATGTTTTTCAGGCCAAGAAAACTAATTGCTGACAAAATTGATTATTGATTACCCCCCCCCCCTCCCCCCCCCAAGTCATTTATCAAGCAGAAAATGTCAAAGGTTATCAACTTACAGCTACAATGTGAGGATTCACTGCTTTTCTCTGTTTATATCATTGTAAGTTGAATATCTTTGAGTTTTGGGTTGTTGACAAGATTATAATTAATTGGTCAATTGATTCGTTTCCCTAATTTTTCAAGCAAAATGCCAAAAAAAGCCCAGATCAAGCTTCTCTAATATGAAGATTCACAGCTTTTCTTTGTCTTATATGATATTAAATTAAACATATTTTGATTTTTAACAGTCGTTCTGACAAATTAAAGCTCTATTTTGTAAGAATTTTAATTTTTCTGTTTTGTGCACATGGATTTGTTTATAAATTGAAGGATTTGGAACCAGCAACTATGACGCCACACACAGGTTTTCTAACATCACCTCCAGATGTTCAGCTAGCAGCTAAACTTCTGTTGAAACCTCCTCTGACTTGGTGGAATAGACATTTCCATCTGCTGTTGTCAGGACATGTACTTATGTGTCATGGTTTTGTTTTAATAACCGTTACACCCCTTTTAACAGACTAATCAAATAGTTGATTTATTGGTAAAATAAGCAGCCGACTAGTGGAAAGTGAAAATAGACAAAACATTTGAAAATGTGACCCTGGACTCTGGAAAACTGACAGACATTTGTCACAAATAATCATAATTGAAAAAATAACCAACAGATGGATCTAATGAAAGTAATTTGCAGTTGTGACATTTTTAAAATAAATGTATGGCATATATATTTATTTTGTTCAGCTATGATTTATCCAGTGCAGTATCAGCAGTTGTTTAAGTTCAGAGAACAGGAATAAAAGAGTCCAAATCACAACGGCCCAAGGCCTCAACACTGATGTGTTACACAAGACTCAGTTTCTGTATTGGTTTTATAGCAGAGGCCACCGCTTCATAACATCATGAAAATATAAAAACCCCTTTATGAAATGAAACATGAAAATATAAAAAAAGACTAAATTCATCACAAGATTAGATGCATCAGAATCCGAGTGGCTCACCACCTCTCCGAACAACATCCTGTGGGGAAACCCTGTATGAAGTGTTGTTTGTAAGAGCAACATAACTGCAAAAATAAAGAGACAGGAAATCAATGTTTCCATGTATCACACCGTGTGTTCACTCTGTTTATCTGTTTGCTTTTAAGCTTCACCCAGTTACAGTCCACAGTTTTATACTGCAGAGACATTTAACGTCAGACAACCTTGGCTTCTACTTGAATGAAAAAATTGTTTTGTAGAAATATGTTTATAATTCAGACGATTTCGTCTGAAAATACATTTCACATTTTTCTCAAATGTGAAGAATTAATCGTTCAGTCGAAACAAAGTTCCTCAGAGTCCAAGGAGACGTCTGTAAACGTCTTGTTTTGTCAGAACAAAAGTCCAAACGAAGCTCGTCACACCGGACGAGCGGGAGCCAGAGAGCAGCAGGTGTTTGTGCTCAATAAATGATGAATCGATCAGTTGCTGATACTGATTGATCGAGTTGTTCAGCTGTATAACAATGTAAACTCTGTGTCCTGTCACTGTCTGTGTCTCCTCACATTGACCTCTGACCTCCTCTCCTCTCTCAGGTTGATCCGTCACCTCCCCAGATGTGGCCGCTACCTCTGCTGAGACTCCTGTTCATGAACGGCGAGGGCGCTTTGATTGAGCGGCTGTGGCTCGGCCTGGAGGGATGACAGGACGTTAACAGACATGGAGACAGGGGAGACACACAGACAGCTGGAAACGCCATATTCACTTAGTCTAGACTCTCCACGTTAGATCCCCTCAGGACAAGAGTAAAGCCTATTTTTTTATATTTTTTATTCAGAGCTGTTTTTGTTAGTTATCGTGAAGCCATACTGACTTGACAGCGCCGGACGTCAGGATGAGCTCGGAGGGGTTTCAGTACCGAGCGCTGTACGACTACAAGAAGGAGAGGGAGGAGGACATCGACCTGCACGTGGGAGACATGCTGCTGGTCAGTAAAGGAGCGCTGCTGGCTCTCGGCTGCGGCAACGGAGCCGAAGAACGGCCGTCGGAGATCGGATGGCTGCCCGGCTTCAACGAGACCACACAGGTAGGACGCCGCACTGACCTGG